ATATATTCTTTTCCATATTTTTTTCTTTATGTTTCTTTTTCATGATTATTTTCTTTTAAAAAATTAACTACAAAATTGCAATATAAAAGAGATCGACCAAGTGTTGAACTTAATGAGCATATATGAGCTTTTGTTGAATGATTCAGCAACAATTCAGATGAATGCTAATGTGGTAACTGAACTACGATTTTTTTTAGTATTCTATAACAATTATTGATAATTAGAAAGAAATAAGCGTAGTTGATGGTGTGAGGAGCTTGCGTGCGTCATTTTTATTTTTTATTTTTTTTTCTTTCTTTCATATTTTACTAGCTAGTATACCGTATTATGCTGCATTTGGTATTTTTGCTTTGGAATGATATCAGTAACAAATGCAAAGATTTGGATATTAATAAAATTTAATTGAATCTCACCACAAATTTTTATTGGGGCTTCAAGTTCGAGAAGTATAGGCTGAGAGATAAAAATTTCTCTCGCTTTTGTACAAAGGTATTTAATTTCGAACTCTGCAAGCTGCACTTGTTTTCCAGGTCGACACCCTCTAACTACAGACGCATTAAAAGTTAAGCAAGGTATCAGGACGAAAAGGATTCGTTAGCGATCGCTGGATATGTTGTTGAACTCAAACAATTGTCCTTGGGTCCTGAGGCCTTGAAAAGGCAGTAAAAAAATTAGACTAAAGTATGTTTATACCTTCCAGCAGTCTGTCAATTACAGAGTCAATGTCTATTTCAAGAGAATCACCCATTGTACGTTTTGCTCTTGACTGAAACACAAGAGCTATGTATACTTAGTGGAGGAGTGCGTGCGTTAAGCGTCTTGATACAAACGGAACAATGATTAGAGGCTCTGAAAGTAAATACACAAAGATCGAGTAATGAAGGACACGTTAGCAGTGCTCTGAATGTGATTTTAAACTGGTATAGAATTTAATTGCAGTGTTCAGATGATAATTTCTAGCTTTCCGCAAGGTTCTGCAACCAAGCATAAAGCAGGACGGCAAGGGAAGAAATCATAGGTAACTTTTTTTTTTCTGTATTTTTCCCCTTCTTTCACAAAGGCAATACATACAAATAGGTAGCGAAGCAGGGAGCGAAAAGGTCGGGCAGAGAAGGTGTGTTTAGTGTGGAATAGGAAAACGATGGATAGGTTGGTTGGCCTGAGTTGGATGAGTTAGTAAGGGCTGGACTGGACTGTTTTGTGAGCTAGGATAAAGTTTGGGCTGCTCTATGTAACTAATTACCCAAAACAGAATTTTGGTGACATGGATGATTGGACTGATGCATCATTCATTCTTACTGTCAAAATTTTAGTCGGATTAATTGCCCTAATTGCCCCCAAATAGTGTGCAAAGGGGAGATAAAAAGATAACGGCTAGATTTATGATTATATAGATATTATAGATAAGAATATACGTATCGACATTGATTTTCGAATAATTTTTTTTAATAAAATAAATATATATTTGTCGATTTTGGTTTTTATAGTATATCCATATATATACACATTATAGCTTTTTTTTTACATACGAACATACGTGTATATAGCTTTTTTTTTAAATATATATTTATTTTAAAACACATACAGTATATAATTATTCTAATTATTTATATTTATAGTATTTTAAATTCTTAATCAAATTTGTTTTTAGTTTACAATTTAAGAAATAAATTTTGAATAGTTTAATAAAAGTTATTGTTATATATAAATAATATTATATATTATAATAAAGTGTATAATAAGTATAATATAAAATAAATAAATTATTAAAAAAATATAATTTTTTTAAACAGTTTTG